GAATTCCAGAACATGAGATGGACACGGAAATCACTGAAAAGATTGTGGAAGACATACTAGAAGAAAACTTCCCAGGTATTTTTAAGAATGGGGAAATCCACATCCAAGAAGCACAGAGAACACCAAATAGATTAGACCCAAAAAGAAAAACACCAAAACATATCATAGTCAAATTCTCCAAATTAAAAGAATTGAATTCTAAAAGCAACACAAGAAAAGCAAAGAGTTACCTACAAAGGGGAAACAATTAGATTAAGTTCTGATTTCTCAGCAGAAACCATGTGAGCTAGAACACAATGGGATGCCATATACAGAAAGTTGAAAGATAACAATTGCCAGTCAAGGATCCTATATCCAGCAAGGCTCTCTATCAAATTTAAAGCAGAAATTAGACTTTTTTTACAGACAAGAAGGACCCTAAGGAATTTGTAAAAACAAGACCAAAACAATAAGAAATTTTAAGTGAAATCCTACACACAGAGAGGCCAAAGAAAAGTGAATGGACCATAGTAACCAGAAACAGCAGAAAGGGAAACACAGCAAAATGGAAAAAATAAAACTTGGCCTGACAATAATCAAACTTAATGTGAATGGACCAAATGCACCAATTAAGAGAAAGAGTAACAGGATAGATAAAAAAAAAACCAAACCATCAATATGTTGCCTACAAGAGACACATCTAAAAAAAGGAAGAGAAAGACAGACTCAATATCAAGGGCTGGAAAAAAATTTACCAAGCAAATGGCAACCTCAAAAAAAGCAGGGGTGGCAATACTAATCACTGATAAAATAGATTTCAGACTGAAAAACCACCATCAAAGATAAGGAAGGGCACTACATACTGATTAAAGGCACAATAGATCAAGAAGATATAACCTTGATCAACATTTATGCACCAAATGATAGAGCTGCAAAGCACATAAAACAACAGTTAACAAAACTGAAGACAGAAATAGACAGCACCACAATAGTGGTAGGAGATTTCAATACACAACTCTCACCGAAGGATAGGGCAGCTCAAAAGAAACTCAACAAAGATACAGAAGATCTAAACTATACAATCACAACCCGACCTTGTGGATGTATTCAGAGAACTGCACCCAACTAAAACTCTACTCTGTCCTGTGCCAATCGCACTGTCTCTGACATTCCCATCCCGATTACCCCAGTCACTGAATCAATTCACCTCTTACAGGGCCTTCCCCTCCTGAACTGTTCCTCCACTCTACCAAGCATGATGTCCCTTTCCTTACACCATGTCCTAAGTGTTTTAGATGGAGCCTCAAAATCCTTGCCTCCAAGGAGCCGCCCAGTTTAACCCCTTCCAGGATGAATCTGTTTGTTTTCCTGGCAGTCCATGGTACCCTCAATACTCTTCTCCAGCACCACAGCTCAAAGGCAGCAATTCTCCTTCTATCCTCCTTAGTCATTGTCCAACTCTCTGATGCATAACAAGCGCTCATGGATAGGAAGTCTTAATATTGTGAAAAGGACATGTTCAATGCAATTCCAATATAAATACTAATTCCATTCTTCAATGAGATGGAAAAGGCAACCTCCAATTTCATTTGAAATGCAAAGAGGCCCGGAGTAAGCAAAATACTCCTTAAAAAGAGAAACAAGCTAGGAGGCATCTCACTCCCTGATTTCAAATACTACTACTACGGTGTGATGATCAGTACAACATGGTACTGGTCCAATGAGAGACACATAGATCAATGGAATAGCATTGAGAACCCAGAAATCACCCCATCCACCTATGAACAACTGATTTTTGACAAGGAGATGAAATCAGTTAAATGGGGAAACGAAAAACTTTTTAAACAAATGGTGTTGGTAAAACTGGAAAAACCATCTGCAGAAAACTCAAACAAGACCCACACCTCACACCATACACAAAAACAAACTCAAAGTGGATCAGGGACCTAGGACTAACACCAAGGACTATAAACTTCTTTAGATAAAAGCTTGGAATAACCCTAGAAGCACTAATCCACAATATGAACCATCTTCCAATCATTCTGAAAAACCTACAATCAAGAGAGGAAGAAATAGATGAATGAGACCTTCTAAGAATCAAATCCCTATGCACATCCAAAAACTTCTCCAACAGGGTGAAAAGGGAAGCCAAAGACTGGGAAAAAAATTTGGTAATGACATGTCTGATAAGAGATTTACATCTAAAATTTATAGAATACTTGAGTGCCACACAAGATATAGTAAACAACCCAATTGCAAAATGGGCACAGGACATGTGCAGACACTTCACCAAAGAAGACATTCAGATGGCAAACAAATACATGAAGAAATGTTCAAAATCCCTGGCTCTAAGGAATATGCAATTCAAAACAACTATGAAATATCATCTCAGCCCAGTAAGAATAGCAAAATTTAACAGGGCAGCAAACAACAAATGTTGGAGAAATTATGGAGAAACTGGAACCCTTTTTCACTGTTGGTGGAAGTGTAAAATGGTGCAACCACTATGGAAGGTAGTTGAGGGAAATAAGGTTGGGAAATAGAAATACCATTTGACTCAGCAATTCCACTACTGGGAATATACATTAAAGAAACCAGAACTGCCAGCCCAACAGATATATGCATACCCATATTTATTGCTGCTTTATTCACAATAGTAAAGAGTTGGAAATAACCCAAATGCCCATCAAAAAAAATGGATAGCAAAGCTGTGGTATATAAAATACAATGAGATATTATTCAGCACCAATAAACAAAGAACTCGTGATATATTATACAAAGTGGATGACTATGGAGGACATTTTGCTGAGTGAAATATCTCAGTCCCTTTTTGGACCAATACTGCATAATGCCACTGTTACAAAAAGGAGATAAATAATGTACACAACATTGAAACAGAAAAGGGAGAGAACTTATAAAAGGAATACATGATTAGGTTTTACTGGCATGAGAAGATTCCAGAATAAGAGCTGCATAGGAAAGTGGACTGCTGTTGGGGGTGGGGGGGAGGTGTGACTGTATAACATTGAAAGAATTTTTTTTTCCAAAGTAAAAAGGAAACTGGAGGGGGTGGGAGGTAGGGATGAAAATGTGCAACAATGAATGAATAGAAATCTAAGTTCTCTATAAAATTTCATTAAAATATGAAAAAAACAAATGCTGAATGAGTTCATCCCTCTTTTTTTAGTATCTTTAATAATTGGATAAATTTTATTATCAAAATAAGAACATAAAAACCTGCCAAGATAAGAGAGCAATAGTGTCATTTTGAACCTACTAAAAATTGGCAAAAAAAAATTAATGTATTCTTGAGAAGGTCTTTAAATTCAGGAGAGATAGACTCAGGTCAAAGTTTGGTCCTTGATGATTCGATTTAATTTGGTTTTCTGTAGCTTCAGTTTGAACTTGTACATGAGTAATTAATGATCTGATCCTGAATCAGTACCTGGCCTAGTTTTCACAGCTGATACTGAGCTTCTCTAATGATTACTCCCCCATATGTAATCAATGTGATTTTTTTTGTAGGCCACCAGATGAGGGCCGTTTTTATACACACCTCTTGTATTTCTTATAAAACATATTTGCAATGAATAAATCTTTGATCATACAGAATTCTATCATTTTGTCTCCATCCTCATTTTGTCACTAATAGCTAGCTACAAGTTGAAATACTTGGGAATATATCTAAGTAGAAACACAAAAGATCTTCGAAAATTACAAAACATGATTGTGATAAATGGAAGATACCTAGATATACAGAAAAATTTTCCCTGTTCATGGATAGGAAGACTCAATACAGTAAAAAAGAGAATTCTACCAAAAGTAATGAACATTTTTAATGCAATCCCACTTGTAAAGTGCCATTGAGTCACCAGGGATTCATAGCGACCCTATGTACAACAGCACTAAACCCTATTCTGTGCCAATCTCATTGTCTCCAACACACCTACCCCGATTACCCCAGTCACTGAATCAGTCCACCTCATAAAATCTTTTCCTCGCCTGTGCTGTCCCTCCACTCTCCAAGCATGACGTCCATCTCCAAGGACAGATCCCTCCTTGCAGCATGTCCAAAGCATGTCAGATGAAGCTTCAGAATGCTTACCTCCAAGGAGCAGCCTGATTTAATCCTCTTCTAGAACAAACCTGTTCATTTTCTTGGCAGTCCATGGTATATCCAATACGCTTCTCCAGGACTACAGCTCAAAGGCATCAGTTCTCCTTCTACTCCCTAGTCATTATCCAGCTCTCTGATGCATAGAAAGTGATTGCAAAAAAACCATGGGCTGTATCAGGCACACCTTCGTCACCAGAGTGACATCATTGCCCTTCACTTCTTCAGAAAGGTCGCTAACAGCAGACTTTTTCATTGTAATATGTCTTTTGATTTCTTGGCTGATGGTGCCAAGAGTGTTGACTGTGGAGCCAAGCAAACTAAAGCTGTGTACAATCTCAATCTCTTCACCATCCAACCTGATGCTGTCAATTGGTCCAGTGGTGAGAATCTTTGTCTTCTTGACATTGAGCCTCAATCCATATTGAAGGCTGCAGTCCTTGACCCTCTGAAGCAAGTGCTTCAGGTCCTCCTCAGTTTCAGCAAGCAGGGTTGGGTCATCTGCATAACGCAGATTGTTGATTAATCTTCCTCTAACCCCACTATAGATACCAAATTCATTTTTCAAAGAGATAGAGAATGTAATTTGCAAGTTCATTTGGAAAGGAAAGAGACTGTTAATAAGTAAAATACTTCTGAAAAACAAAAAGGAAGTAGGAGGAAAGGTATAGTACTCCCTGATCTCAAAATCTACTACACAGCATTAATAACCAAAATAGCATGGTACTGATGCAAGGGCAGGCATATAGATTAACGGAACAGAATCAACAATCTAAAAATTAATCCATCTACCTATATTGAACTGGTATTTGACAGTGAAACAACATGGACCAAATAGGGAAATAAAAACCTTTTTAAGAAGTAGTACTGGCTTCCTGATTGATCCTTCGCGGTCACCTGCCTCGAGATGCAAGCAGCCCTTGAGATCACTGCTCGCTATTGCAGTCGGAAACTGGAGCAGTATGGCCAGTGTGTGGCTGCCAAGCCTGAGTCGTGGCAGCGGGACTGTCACCACCTCAAGATGAGTATCGCTCGCTGCACGTCCACACACCCAATTATCCGCCAGATCTGCCAGGTCTGCGCTGAACCGTTCCTGGCCTTTGAGGAGTGTCTCCGAAAGAATGAAGCAGGGATAGGCAACTGTGCAGAGCATGTACACCGCTTCCTGCAGTGCGCTGAGACGGTCCAGCTGCCACGTTCACCTTCTGCTGGGGAAATAAAGTCTCTTCTGGCTTCATGAGGATTTTTGGCTGCAGGAAAACTGGACATGAGTAACTGATCAAACGTTATGCCCTTGCCTCCACATGGAGAGGCCTGGTGGAATCCCAGGTGTAGTCAGGCCATATGATATCTCTGGAAATGAGGGCTAACAGCAGCAACAACAAAAGAAGAAGTAGTACTGGTAAGGGAGCTTTGGGGGCCTAGTGCAAGAAGCAGCACTGCAATCCCAGAGGTGCACGGTTCAAATCCACCAGATGCTCTGCTGGAGAAGGAGGGGCAATCTCCTTCCTTCTGTACCAATCAGATCCAATTTGATGGTACATGCACACAAAACAATAAAATAAAATGTACTTTCTAAAAAAAAAAAAGAAGGAAATAGTGCTGGCAAAACTGTACTGTTACCTGCAGAAAGTTGAAGTAGGGTCCACGTCAGGCACCACACACAGAAGTCAATGCAAGGTGGATCAGATACCTAGGTATAAAGCCCCAAACCAGAAAGATTATAAAAGACAAAATGGAGTCAAATTTAGAAGGCCTAACTGAAGAACAGATTCAAACCTAGAGTTGCTGTAATCAAGGATGCTTTGGGCAGAATATTAAATGATCCAGGAAGTACTAAAAGAAGATGGAAGGAATATACTGAGTCATTATATAGAAAGGAATTGGCAGATACAGAAAAATTTAATGAAATAACACATGAGCAAGAGCCTATGGTGATGAAGGAAGAAGTTCAAGCTGCTTTGAAGGAAATAGCAAAAAATAAGGCCCCAGGAATAGATGGTATACCAATTGAAGTATTTCAGATAACAGATGTTGCCCTGGATGTGCTCACCAAGTTGTGCCAAGAAATCTGGAGAACAACCACTTGGCCAACTGACTGGAAGAGATCTATATTTGGTCCCATTCCAAAGAAAGGTGACCCAACTGAGTGTGGAAACTACAGAACAGTGTCATTGATTTCACATGCGAGCAAGATTCTACTGAAGATTATCCAAAAATGATTAGAACAGCACATCAGCAGAGAACTTCCGGGAGTCCAGGAGGCTGGGTTTAGAAGGGGTCGTGGTACTAGGGATATTGTTGCTGATGTTAGATGGATCTTGGCTGAAAGCAGAGAATACCAGAAGAATGTCTATCTGTGTTTCATTGATTATGCAAAGGCATTTGACTCTGTGGATCATAACAAACTGTGGCTGACTCTGAGAAGAATGGGAATCCCAGAACATTTAATCGTGCTAATGCGAAACCTATACTTGGACCAAGAGGCAGTAGTCAGAACAGAGCAGGGCAACACTGCATGGTTCAAAATTAGGAAGGGTGTATGCCAGGGATGTGTCCTGTCTCCATTCATTTTCAATCTGTATGCAGAACAGATTATCCGAGAGGCTGGGCTCTATTAGAAGTGTGGCGTCAGATCTATCAACAGTCTGGGTTATGCAGATGACACAACCCTGCTCGGTGAAACTGAGGAGGACCTCATGCACTTACTGCAGAGGGTCAAGGACTGCAGCCTTCAGTATGGACTGAGGCTCAATGTCAAGAAGACAAAGATTCTCACCACTAGACCAATTGGCAGCATCAGGATGGATGGCGAAGAGATTGAGGTTGTTCACAGCTTCAGTTTGCTTGGCTCCACAGTCAACACTCTTGGCACCAGCAGCCAGGAAATCAAAAAGCGTATCACGATGGGAAAGTCTGCTGTTAGGGACCTCTATAAAGTACTCAAGAGCAACGGTGTCTCTCTGGAGACTAAGGTCCACCTGATATAGGCCATGGTTTTTGCAATCACTTGCTATGCATCAGAGAGTTGGACAATGACTAGGGAGGACAGAAGGAGAGTGGATGCTTTTGAGCCGTGGTGCTGGAGAAGAGTATTGAATGTACCATGGACTGCCAAGAAACAAACAGATTCATCCTAGAGAGGGTTAAACCAGGCTGCTCCTTGGAGGCAAGGATTCTGGGGCTTCGTCTGACATACTTTGGACATGTTGTAAGGAGAGACAGGTCCTTGGAGAGGGACATCATGCTTGGTAGGGTAGAGGGACAGCGCAGGAGGGGAAGACCCTCTATGAGATGGATTGATTCAGTGACTGGGGTAATCGGGATGAGTGTGTCAGAGGCAATGCGTTTGGCACAGGATAGAGCAGGGTTTAGGGCTGTTGTACATAGGGTCGCTATGAGTCACAAATGACTCGACGGCACATAACAACAACAAAACAAACAACATCACATACAAGCAAAATCCTGCTGAAGAATATTAAAAAACAACTGCACCAGTACATCAACAGAGAACTACCAGAAATACAAGTGAGGTTTAAAAGAGATTGTGGCACTAGAGACATTATTGCCAATGTCAGATGGATCTTGGCAGAGAGCAGAGTACCAAAGTAATGTCTATCTGTGTTTCATTGATTATGCAAAAGTATTTCATTGTGTGGATCACAAAAAATTGTGATTAACCTTGAGAATGGGTATCTCAGAGCGCTTGGTTGTGCTTATGCAAAAAACTATACTTGACCAGAAAGCAGTCCTCAGAACAGAGCAAGAAAACACTGCATGTTTCACAATCAGGAAAGGAGTGCATCAGGGATGCATCCTTTCTCCAAATCTTTTAAATTATATGCAGAACCTATCATATGATAGACTGGACTTTATAAGGCATGTGGCATCAGGGTTGGAGGAAGACTCATCAATACTTGCTTAAAACAAGGAGGATCTGAGGCATTTGCTGCAGAAGCTCAAGGACTGCAGCCTTCAATATGGATTGAAGCGCAACATCAAGAAGATAAAGATTCTTATCATTGGGCCAATTGGTTACACCATGACAGATGGAGAAGAGACTGAAAGTTGTTAATGATTTCCATTTGCTTGGTTCCACAACAAAACACTTGGCACCAGCAGTCAGAAAATCAAATGACAAACTGCACTGGGAAAATCTGATATCAAAAACCTCCTCAGAATACTGACAAGCATGATGTCACTCTGGAGACGAAGGTGCACTGATCTCAGCCATTTTCTTTGCAATTACTTGCTATGCATCAGAGAGCTGGGCTAGAATGAATGATGACAGAAGAAGAATTGATGCCTATGAGTTGTGGCTAGAGAAGACTCTTGAACACACTGTGGACTGCCAAGAAAACAAATAGGTCTTTCTCAGAGAGGGTGAAACCAAGTCTCTCCTTGGAGGCTAGAATTTTGGGCAAATAGTTTGGGCAAATGGTCAGGAGGAAACAATTCTGGGAAAAGAAGATCATGCTCAGAAGGGTAGAGAGCTAGCCCAATGTAGGAAGACCTTGGATGAGATGAATTGATACAGTAACGGGAACCATGGGAGTAGGTGTGTCAGAGTCTGTGAGACTGGCTCACGACACAGTAGGCTTCAGAGCTATTGTACATAAGGTCATTATGAGTCCCAGGTCACTTAATGACACATAACACCAAAAATACATATCCTTTAAAAAAGAAATTTGTTACTCACTTCAGCAGCATATATACTAATTCTGTAACAATACAGAGAAAATTAGTAGGGTCCCTGCACTAGGATAACATGCAAATTCATGAAATGTTTCATATTTTGATGACTAAATACACCAATCAAGAGAAAAAGAGTAAAAGAATGAATTTTAAAAAGCCAAAGCCCATCTATATTTTGTCTATACATCTAAAAAACTAAGAGAAAGATTGAAAAAAATCAAAAGCTTGGAAAAAAGATACCAAGCAAATGGCATCCACAAAAAAGCAGGAGTGGTAAAATACTAATCTCTGTTAAAATACTCTTCATACTGAGAGCCTCATAAAAGATAAGGAAGGGCACTACACAATGATTAAAGGCAAAACAAGATGACAAAACAATGGTTAAGAGAATTGAAGAAATACACTACACCACAACAGTAGTAAGTAGGAAACTTTAAAACACAACTATTGCAAAAAAAATGAGTACAATAAAAACAAGACAAAACAAAAACTTAACAAAGATGCAGAAGATCTAACCCACACATCCACCCAACTCAACCTTGTGGATGTATTCAGGGCACTGCACCGAACTAAAAACAATTCCCTTTCTTCTCAAGTGCACATGGTGCATTCTCCAGAATTGATTGCATATTAGGAAACAAAGAAAGCCTCAACAAACTAAAATGCACTGAAATAATACAAAGCATCTTCTTAGAACCTTCTCAGGAACAAGTTTGAAGCCTTGAACACTAATGAGTGAAGACCAGAGGAGTTGTGGGAGGATATCAAGGGTATCATCCAGGAAGAGTGCAAAAGGTCATCACAAAGACAGAGGAGGAAGAAAAGACCAAAATGGAAGTCAGAAGAAACTCTGAATATTGCACTGGAACACACAGAAGCCAAAGCAGAAAGAAGAATTCAAGATACTAAAGAGCTGAACAGAAGATTTCAAAAGGCAGTGCAGGATGGGATGACAAAGTAAAATATTACAATAAAATGTGCAAGGAGCTGGAGTCAGAAAATCAAAGGGGCTGAACTCATCATTTCTTTAGTTCAAGGAACTGAAGAACAAATTCAAACCTAGAGTTGCTATAATCAAGGACACTTTGTTGTTGTTGTTGTTGTTGTTATGTGCCGTCGAGTCCTTTGTGACTCATAGTGACCCTTTGCACAACAGCCCTAAACCCTGCTCTATCCTGCGCCAAACACACTGCCTCTGACACACCGATCCCGATTACCCCAGTCACCGAATCAATCCATCTCACAGAGGGTCTTCCCCTCCTGCGCTGTCCCTCCACCCTCCCA